CTATGTTTATTAATGTTATTAATTTTAGAAATTATAATTCAACTGTTTGTTTAGAATGTACTTAAGTTTTCAAAAAAAAATAAAATTTGACTAATATTAAAATGTCATGAGTTTTCAGTTAAACGCACTTTGTTGTTTTATTTTAATACACATAATAATAATAATAATATATTTTGCAAAAACAACAGGTGATACACTATAATATATACACTGAACTTAAATTAAACTGCAGCACCCCATGTAAGCCAAGCCTGTGCTGGGGGAGTGATTCTTATCAATTACAATTTACTTATAATAACATAATGTAATAGTTGATATTAGAATATAAAAAACTATAGTACCTATACAATATTATAACTAGAATAAAGATCAAAAATAAAGAAGGAAAAATAGGATTGGCGCGTCGTCTCGTTTGCTTATTTTTAGGATTTATCTTGTATATGATATTGTTTAAGAAATTAGTATTTTACATAAAATGTTCCACAATTAATTATGAGGCCAAAACACGGCACAGCGTGTCAGTTCACAGTTGTCACTTGTCAGCGTGGGCAAACAGTGATTTCTCACCGGCAAGCCCAGGAAAAAACGATAGCCTCTTCAAGACTCAAGGCTTCAGTCGTCAGTGATAAGTTCAGTCTCGTAAAGAACTTAAGTAAACTATTATAAATACTCAATTATCTAAGTATTTCAGAAATTTTTGAAAAAATTACTTGGACAAAGTATTTTAAATACTCCTATACTTTTTAATTGATATAATACATATTATGTATTTTAAATTAGACGTAAAAAAAAAAAAAATTTAGAATATAATAAACAAGTCGATGTTGTATAATAATTATTAAATTATTATAACAATACATTTTTAACCTTACCGAGATGTTGATACATTCAACGTGTGAACTTTAAATAGGTACCAACTTAAAAACAAAATCATGTTTATATGAATCTTTAATATATCAACTGCTATTATAAGACTTATATTCAACTTTCATTCTTTTTGACCAAAAGAATACAATTTTATTGACTTACTATATAGAATAGAAAACTAAAAAATTAAAAACTTCAAATGTCTATAAATAACTCAAATATTTTGAAAATTTTTCATATTTAGATAATTATAAAATGAACATTTGATAAAAATTTCAAGTACCTACCTAAGAGTAAAATCAATTTGATCAGTTTGAATAACATCAAAATAAAGAAAATTGTTGTATGAGCATTTGTCAATTTACGGGTGAATCCAAATATCCAATATGTACCTATATATTGTTATTTGTTACCAGACGTAAATTAAATAATTATTAACTCTAATAACTAGTCGATAACGACAGTTCCAATCAAATTAGACAGTAGTCTTTCATATACGCAGTATCGCAACAATGGCTGAAATGTTGGTGGGGAGGGGCTGTAGCCCCCACCTGACTTACATGAAAAGTTACGCGTGGAGGCGATGCCCACACACCCCGTATATGTTCACTTAAAAATATAAAAAAATCATACAAACAAAATTAATTATTTATTTACTCAAGTATTTAATAATACCTTATGTTTTAATATTTATATTATAATTTTCAAACATTAACAATAAGATTTTCTGCTTAATTCCTTTATATATATTATATATTATAATATATTCCCGAAATAAAATATCACGTTTCCTAATAATATTTTAAAGATATGTAAATAATAATTGTTTTTATTAGAAGTAGATTTTACTTAATATAGGTAGATACAATATTTAAAAGATTATAAAATAAAAATATTTCGAATGATCGATACCTACATCGAATAAAATAAATAATTATTAAATAGTTAATGAATGTAGGTACCTAGATGAACAATTTATTTGTGGTGGATTGAGTATAGGTACTGAGTATAGCACTTGGTATAAATCGAACGTGGTTCACACTACTCCTTAAATTGTCCTGATATCTCCGCCAAGAACAATATTTGAAATTTTCACAAAATCGGTCAAGTAGTTTTGAAGAACCTATACATAATATCTACAAATATACATTCAACTCAAAATATTTCTTTTAAGATATAATTTCTTTATTCGAAACTATAAACGTGCGACGATTTTATGATCCTTTTACCTTTTACCTCATCTGCCAGAGTATCTAACTAATGGCAACATTTAAAATACTAATTTGTATTTATATAGATCTCCTATAACCAATAGCAACCATTTATAAACAAAAATTTCTATCGTAAATCTCAAAATAAATGTTTGGGCACCTCTCCGGGTTGAACCAACTACTGGGTCTAATTCTAATTTTGAATCTAAAAGATTCAAGGACTCACTCAAAAACACACAAAAAATGTCTAGTGGTTTAGGAGATCGCAATGACATACAGACAAACATTTATTTGCATCGATTGTTATTATTTTCGGTCACAGAATTAATTTTTCGCAAAGAAAATTATTATACATTAAAACCTTCCCCGTGACTCGACCGATTTATTAGTGAAAACCGTATTAAAATAAGTAGAGTTCTTATCAAGATATGCGCTCATTGAATGTACAGTCGTACATACAAAAAAGGGGCTTCTATTTTATAATATATAAAATATATATATTATATATACATATAGGTGATTATATTATTATGTTAGTTTAATTTAATTATTTTTAAATAATGACACAAATCAAAAAATTATGATACCTGCAAAAAAAAAAGGTGGGCAAGTGGGTGTCGCTCTGCTGTACAGTAGGTTACAAGTGGGTCACTGTATAATGGATGGTATTAAATTTGAATTCAATGATATAATATCATTGTATAAGAAAAACGATTCTGAGCGGTGACGGTATGTCAGTGTATGTATAAGACATGTATACATGTATACATGGTATATAATATGACATATTATATCTATGGTATTAAAAAAATTGACCTATAATGAATTCCAAATTAATCATATCACAATATCCATTAGGTACTTATAACGCTACATCAACGAAAACCGTGATACTATCATAGATATATAATAGTACACTTTAGAAGTTTCAAGTACCTACAAATAATATTATTCAATCATAACAAAATAACTAAAATAGTTATTCTAGGTTTTTTTAATATGTAATTTCGTCCAAATTTGAATTTAAAATGTCTGTAAAAAATAACTGTGTTCATATATTTTTTAGATTTTTTGGTTATAGTATGAACTATTTATGAGAACCTTTGTGTTGAATTTGTAATCCTTAGCTATAAAAACTGAACATTATATAATTTATTAATTACAATGATTGATAATTTTCGAGATTTTGATAAATTTTGTCAAAATTTGATCTTTAAATGCTTATAAAAAAAAACTGTGCCTATGTATTTTTAATATTTTTCAACTGCTATTGTAAAAATATATCAGGAGCCTTGTATTAAATTTTTACACTTTTTGGCCCTACAGATAAAACTTTATTGATAATTGTAGAAAAAAAAACTAAAAAAAATTGAAAGCTGTAAATGTCCATAAATAGCTCAAAAAGAGTCAAAATATTTTCAAAATTGTATGGTGTATAGGAAATGCTAATTTAAACATTCAGTGAAATTTTCATGTATCTACAGTTGTTCGTTTTTGAATTGCAACAAAATAAGGAAATCGCTACATGAGTAATCGAGTGAAAATCCAATGTTGTAAAAATTTGAATTTCAAACGCTCATAAAAATTTAATTTGACTGTCCGGTAGAGATATTTGTATTGATAAAGGTAGATAATCTTATAAGGAATCTTGTGTTTCATTTTCAAATCTTAGATTTAAAAAGAAAAATTTTTACGAATTCTTAACTCAAAATAATTTGCTAATTTTCGTGATTTTTCCATATTTTGTCAATTTTTGAACTTTAAATGCTTATAAAAAAAAATTGTGACTAAGGATTTTTAATATTTTTCATCTGCCTTTGAAACAACATATTAGGAGCCTTCTATTAAATTTTCAAGCTTTCGCAACCAACAAATAAAATTTTATTGATGTTTTTAGAAAAAAAACTAAAAAAAAATGGAAAATGAAAATGTCCCTAAACAGTTCAAAATAAATCAAAATATTTTGAAAATTTTATCGTGTATAGAAAATGCAAATATAAACAACCAGTGAAAATTTCATGTATCTACGGTCATTTGTTTTAAAGTTACACCAAAAACCAAATTCGATTTTGTCAAAAACTGATTTTGCGTAAAAATTCCCGTTTTTCCTTAATTTTTATGTTGTTTTTCCCGGCGCTTGTGAAAACTATTGGGAATTTTAAATTTTGACCTCCCCAATGCACCAACGATATTCACTTTCCAATCGAACAAGATACTGAAGTCGAAAATCGAAGCATTATTTCGACTACTTATCGTGTACACAGACACAAAAATAAAAAAATAAAAAAATAAAAAAAAAACACACATCATTGTAAAATCAATACATTCATCGTTTCACTCAGAATCTAAAAAACAAATCATTGTAAAATTCAATAAATTCATCGCTACGCTCAGAATTTAATATTCAGACGTTTGTTGCAAACGTAATGAAAATAACAATAACGAGAAAGACGGAGAAAATTCTCGAATGTTCTACAGCCCCATCGTTGTATTATATTTATGAGGTATAATATAATGAAAACTAAAATTACTGACTACACTGCGTCATAGGTATAATGGTAAAGTAGGGAGACGGGCAGACAGCGCGGCGATCACGGCTGGGCTCGCCGCTCGCGAAACGTATCGAACCTTCTCGAACATGCGGTAGGATATATAAAAGCTAGACGCCCGTTGCCCGGCATCAGTTTGAATTCAGAGCGGTAACAGTGCGATTCATTGAACGAAATATAACTGTTATTTACATTTTACTGTATTGTGTGACTCTCAGTGTTATACGTATTATAATTATTGATTATTTAATTCAACAGTGACTTTTCAAATTTAAATACAAAGCGATTTAAGTAAATCGTAATCGTTTTATTCTTATAATTTATTTTCGTATTAATTGTGCGTGTGACCAAAGTTGACAACTTTATTGCCGAAATGGTTGGAAGAACAGCGATTGGTATCGACCTGGGTACCACCTATTCTTGTGTGGGTATCTGGCAACACGGAAAAGTAGAAGTCATCGCAAACGATCAAGGAAACAGGACCACCCCGAGTTATGTGGCGTTCACCGACACCGAACGGTTGATCGGCGACGCGGCCAAGAACCAAGTGGCAATGAACCCCGTAAATACGGTGTTCGACGCCAAGCGGTTGATCGGTCGTCGATTTGACGACGACAAGACGCAAGCGGACATTAAACACTGGCCGTTCAAAGTGGTCGACGATTTCGGTAAGCCCAAGATCCAAGTAGAATTCAAAGGTGAACGGAAGGTATTCGCGCCGGAAGAAATCAGTTCAATGGTGTTGACGAAAATGAAGGAGACCGCGGAAGCGTACCTGGGCCGTGCAGTGACGGACGCTGTGATCACGGTGCCGGCGTACTTCAACGATTCGCAGAGACAAGCTACCAAGGACGCGGGTGCCATAGCTGGTCTGAACGTGATGCGAATAATCAACGAACCGACAGCTGCGGCTTTGGCGTACGGTCTGGACAAGAACCTGAAAGGTGAGAGAAACGTGTTGATTTTCGACCTGGGCGGTGGCACGTTCGACGTGTCCGTTCTACAGATCGACGAGGGTTCGATATTCGAAGTGAAATCGACGGCGGGTGACACGCACTTGGGCGGCGAGGACTTCGACAACCGGCTGGTGTCTCATTTGGCAGAAGAGTTCAAAAGGAAATCGAAAAAGGACGTGCACACCAATCCGAGGGCGCTGAGACGGTTGAGGACGGCAGCGGAACGTGCCAAGAGGACCCTGTCGTCCAGTTCGGAGGCCACCATAGAAATCGACGCTCTGATGGAAGGCATCGATTTCTACACCCGAGTGTCTCGAGCCCGTTTCGAGGAGCTGTGCGCAGATCTGTTCAGATCGACCCTGCAGCCAGTAGAGAAGGCATTAACGGACGCCAAGTTGGACAAGGGAGACATACACGACGTGGTGCTCGTGGGCGGTTCTACGAGGATCCCGAAGATCCAGAGTCTCCTGCAAAACTATTTCTGCGGCAAGCCCCTGAACTTGTCCATCAACCCCGACGAGGCAGTAGCTTACGGCGCCGCGGTACAGGCGGCCATTCTCAGCGGTGACACGAGTTCTGCGATTCAAGACGTGCTGCTCGTGGACGTCACTCCCCTGTCACTGGGCATCGAGACTGCGGGCGGCGTGATGACCAAAATCGTCGAGCGTAATTCAACCATTCCGTGCAAACAAACTCAAACGTTCACCACGTACGCGGACAACCAACCGGCCGTCACCATCCAGGTGTTCGAAGGGGAAAGGGCCATGACCAAGGACAACAACCTGTTGGGCACATTCGACCTGACCGGCATACCTCCGGCTCCCAGAGGTACACCTAAGATCGAGGTGACTTTCGATATGGACGCCAACGGTATTTTGAACGTGTCGGCCAAGGACAACAGCTCTGGCCGCTCCAAGAACATCGTCATCAAGAATGACAAGGGCCGCCTGTCCCAGGCCGAAATCGATCGTATGCTCAGCGAGGCCGAACGGTACAAAGAAGAGGACGAACGACAAAAAGTTAAGATCGCGGCCAAGAACCAGTTGGAGAGCTACGTGTATGGTGTCAAACAAGCGTTGGACGACGCCGGCGACAAGCTGACCGAGTCCGAAAAGAACACCGGAAAACGGGAATGCGACGCTGTCATTCAGTGGTTGGACAACAATCAGTTGGCAGACAAAGAAGAGTACGAGTACAAACTAAAGGAAATCCAAAAGAGCTGCTCGGCTCTAATGATGAAGATACACGGTGCAGGACAAGCCGGTGATGCGTCTCATCCCGGTGCTCATGGTTTCCCTGGGCCCGGCTCGGGAGGACCTACCGTCGAAGAAGTCGATTGATTCCTTTAACAATATGTATAATTTTATTATATTTTGTAAATAGGTACTATTGTGAACTGCTTCCTACATTCTAATTGTAAATAATACGTATTATATAGTTAGATTTAAGTTGAGACTGATTTTTCTTTTGTAATTTTTACCTACATTTTTGCAAAATAAATATTATTTGTTAGCTGTCATATATATTTTTCGTTTTTATTTGTTTGTCTCGAAAAAATGAATACTTCCTATTTTTTTATTATTTGCACAGACTACAATAATGTATAAATAATAAATATCAATATTACTAAAGGAAAAAATATGATTGATACATTATTTATTAATAATGATTTAATAAGATTACAAATTGTGATTTGGTAAAAAATCGCTCAAACTTAATTTTTAAGTTATGGTCAAAAAACTTTAAAATGTTCGTTTTTTTTGGAAGAATTGTTTTTTAGAGTTTAAAATACCAAGAAAATACGTTCTCTGGAATTTTTTTTTAATTTTAGTCATTTTGTGCTTAGCGTTTAGGTAAAATCAGAATTTACTTATCCTAGTAAATATTATACTCAATGGAATGAACTATCATACAACAAATTCGGAATTTTCATATAACAAAACGTTAAATGTACCACTAGAGCGTGCTATAAGACAGTAAATCCGTGTGAGAACATTAAAGCAGCTGAGAATAGATGAAATTCATCTATTCTGTGATTATGGCATTGATTAAATATCAATGATTATAATAATATTAATCTTTAGTTTATTCTTTAGAAGTGATATCGTCTCGTTGCTCTTTCACACTGTTTAATCTATGATTTCGTAACAATTATATAATAAGCCGCGGCCGTGGTCCGTCCTCAGAAATATAGAATAGAATATTCCGTCTATTCCGCGCCGTGTTTTGGTGGTGGAACCGGCGGCGGGTTATCCGTTCTGTCGGAGAACGCGTGCCGTGTCCCGTAGAACATAATAGGTAATTTGTAGTTTGTACGTTTTATCGTTGCGTAATAAACTATTTGGCATTTGCCTACAAGCATATCGATTGCCAAGCACAGCGCCGACGTACAAACGAACAATTAGTGTTGTATTCTTTTATCGTCTCTCCGCGAACGCAGCGGCACCCACTCGTTTCGGCCCGAGGCGGTTCGCCGGTTTGTGGTTACGTTAGTTTATAGTACTTCAGTCAGTAGTCTGTCGCTCGACGCGGCTCTTGGCTGTTGTTAGCTTGTTGGCTCGTAATCCATGTCCACGAAGACACTACGACGACGACGACGACGACACTACGACAGTCACGATCCATCCGAACGCGGTACGTGACGTGCAGCTGATCGACGTCTGCCAAAAATCTTAACTCGCCATGGCGTCTAATGCCCTGCAATCGGAAGTAACGTGAGTAGTCTTTTACAGTTTTGCACCTATACTATAAAATCCGATTTCCGTCATAAAATATCCTTAAAAATGTTAAAATTACCCGATTACCCATTGTCTAACTGATATTGTTATGATTCGCGAATATTAAACAATAAACGTTTACGTGGGTGGGTGTAATCGAGTGACTAAGGTGACTTAACCCACGTACGTAGTACCATAATGTTCTTTTATTATATGTACGACACCTACGTTCATTCCTGTGATAGTGTGATCCGTCGCAAACACTTTACAATTCAATAGTTAATTGTGTAAACACGGATGGTCATTCCTGTGATCCGTCGCAAACACTTTACAATTCAATAGTTAATTATGTAAACACGGATGGTCGACATTGAAAAGCGTGACAAAAATTTTTACTCATAATATTGAAATGGGCTCATATTTTTTGCATTCGACTAACATTCCGATGCCAGGTTAGACTCTTTGAGTTGAATGTTTGCTAGAAAATAAATGGTTATTATAATTGGCTGGTGAATTTATTACTACTACTTTCGGGTCTTACCACTTGAATATTTTTTAATTTTAATTATTAAAATAGAAGTTTATCCGAGCTTACCTTATCTCATGTTCAAGATTATTGTCAAACATTTTGATGAAAAATATAAAAATGTTTACTGTCATTAAGGCATAAATGTCTATTATCTACCTCATTTATTTTGTAAATCAAATGGGCATTATTAAAAATAACTTCTTTATTTTTTATATAAAATGTTTTAGTTAGACAGGTAGGTACAATAAAACATTTTATAATATGTTTTAATTAAAAAATTATAAATTCTTTATAAATTATTAAAAATATAATCATAGGTGCATAATTTTAATTGTTAACTCATCATAAATTATCGAGTGAATTATCAATATTGGTATTTATAGAATCAATTTTACTAGATTGACCTTTACTTTTTTTTTATCTATTATAACAATTATTTTGATTATTTAGCTTATTCCTTAATTTGATTTAATTTAAATTAACACTTTTGTCAATTATACACGGTGTTTCACCAAGCATGCTCATTCATTTTCTTTCATTCAATAATGTGTTTATTAAGATTTTGATTTTTTGTATTATTTAAGGAGTGTCTTGTAGCAATTCAAACATTTGTTTTTCAAATAAAACCCACCGTACTGTAAATTATTTATTTATATAACTTTTTTGAACTTTTATTCAAACAAATAGTTTTTTTCAGTTAAACCCCCAGTCCCCGGTTATAACAATGTTTATATTATGGATAAAAATTAAAATCCTCAAATTTTCAATTACCATAGTTCCTATTATCATTAGTATATACAAAAGTAAATAACTCAAAAACTAGGCCCCAAGGTTGGTACTCATTTGAATTTCGAATTAGGTACATTAACATTTTCAAAACAATTATCCACTAAATAATTTACAATAAAAAAGTTCTAAAATGGTAGAGTTTGCGTTTGAAAAATTTCCACAAGACACTCTCTAAATACCTAGTTCAAAAAAACTTAAGAATTAGAAATTATTGTCTTTAACTTTTAAGTATAATTTAAAATTCCAATTTTTCAATTACTATGTTATTGAAGAAGAAAAAGAGAGTTTGCATAACTGGTGGTGACTCATACTGTAGGGCTGTAGACATCTTAAATAATAGGTACAATTAATAGCATTAAACATAGACTATATTATAATCAAATGACAATATTAATGGCAAAACTTAGATTTTTTAATTATTAAATAATTTAAAAACTAAATAGGTACTAATAAATTTACCAAAAAAAATTCTAAAGCGGATTCCTTGACCCTTTAAAGTTATAGATATAATTACCTATTTAGTTTATTTATTGTATAAGGCTGAATATAGATTAGGTAATTAATGATTAATCTTAAATCTGTTTATTACAACACAAGCTATTTAGATGAGAAATGTCCTGTAGGGGATAACGGGATATACTCCCATTGAGCGGCTCGAGCTTATTAGATTAAATCTTATAAAATCTATTTAATTTTTTATATTTTGGATTTTAATTATCCCCCCCCCAAAAAAAAAACAAAAATTATTAATGGATCTGCCACTGGAAATGTCTATGAAATGTATATAATTTTAGTTCAATAATTGCTATCCAGAAAATACTATAGGTATTATATAGGTACCTAATATATTACTATAACCTTAAACCTTCTTACTCTGAAACATAACTATATGTCCATGCTATTTTATTTCTCTACATTGATAGGTAATATAGCTAATTTTCATAATCATTACTTATTAAATAACCATAATGGGTTTTATAGAACTTAATTAATAATGACAGCATGAACTATTTATTTAAAAAAAAACAAAATGTGTAGAATTGTTATTGTTATGATAAAATATGTAACCACCTGTTACACTCACTTGCATGTTAAAATGGTATTATCTATATCAAATGCACTGCTATTATAAATACCAATACTCTCATAAAGACTAATAATATTTCACTTTATTTCCTTATATTTTTTATCAACTAAAGTCAATTTAATAACATATTTTTTAGCATTGATCATTATTTGTTAATTTTCGATTGTATTTTAATAACCTAACTGTAGTTTATTTTATTAACACAATTAAATAATTAATGTTTTAGGCATATTGCATATATTCAGTTTTATCCAACTAGAGCTGTAAAATTTCATGAGAATTTTCAATAACTAAAAATTATGAAAAATTTTTTTTATGGATTTTGTAATTATTTTTTTTTTTTAAATTATAGGCCACTTGTTAATTAAACATTTATTCACAAAACACTTACCTTCATACTTATAAAATTAAAATACTAACTATTTAATATATTTTATTAATTAAAAATGTAGGTGTTATAAATTTAAAAAAATATATAATACACTATCGTTATTATCACTCACAGTTTTTATCTCGGTGTTCATTAATATTACTAAACACTTAAAATTACAAATTTTTAATGCTATTATTATTTATTAAATATTATGGCAAAGTTGTAACTGTGACTACAGCCTATGCCTACCTCTACTAGTGTTTGTGTATGGTGTACATACCTAAGTCCTGTAGAGAAAAAAAAATTGAAAAATTGATAGAACTTGAAAATGTTCAAGCTTACAGCTCTACCAACCAATATTGTTAATTTTAAAATAGGTATGTCCTAACATTTTTGAATTATTATAATTTATTGTTAGATCAAAATGTTGGTATAGATATCAGGTAGTTAACTTCACCAAACCTTACCCTACATATACCTAATATTACAAATAAAATAATACTACATCTATTTTAACTTGTATTATTATTAAAAACTATAAATATATTTTAATATTTATATCTTGAACCTGGATATCTTAATAATTCCTTTACCATACCTATCAACGCCTATATACTATATAATATTATAGTATATCCCTAAAGTATAATTTTAATGAATATGTTTCAATTTCAATAAAAAAATTGGCGGTGCTCATTCAAATAACCATAAACCATGAGGTATGTGAGTGGTGATATCAACATCTTGGCTTTAGAAACTTTGTATAAAACTGAGGATGTTAACCTCATCCAATGGCAGATCCCCAACTACAAATTTCACCTGCAAAAATGAATACAGATTAACATTACTCATTCCTCCTTATTTAAAAACTTTAAATTATTAGTCAAGTTTATGGTTGTTAATTAAAATGTACAATTTTGTGTTTTTACTCCATTTACTTCATTGTTTAACTTTTTGAATGCCCCATGTCATATTATCATGTTATACCTACCAAATAAATAACTATAATTTTATTTTTTTTCAGAAAACCTCCATCTTCAAACCGTTTTTCGTGAGTACTGTAGTATTTATTTTTTAAATTTGATTTAAATAATTTTTTATTCATTACTTTAAAGGGATATATTTTTTTTTTTAAATATGAAGAAAAATATGAATATAAAATAGTTTTATATACCTAGGTAGGTACCTAGTATCTTATTATATTAATATAGTGAAACTTCCATATTACGAAGACTTTTGGAGCATTCAAAAAAAATTGTACTAAGTATAGAAACTTTTGTTGAATAGAATTGAATAAATTTGGTTTCAATTTGGTTTGATTCTCAAATATATTTCGTTAAATGAAAAATGTTGTCAAATGGAAATTCATTACACGAAAGTTTCACTGTATAATAAAATCATAATAATTTATTAATTTTGAATGAAATTATCATTGTTTACCTATAGAATATAGTCAACATTGAAAATGTGTACTACATGAACCAAATAATTCTAGTAGATATTTACTAAGATATTTCTATAATTTAATATTTATTTAAACATAGTATAAATATTAAATACCAGAATGTATATTTATAGATTATTACCAAAAATAATAAATGGAGGAATAGCTGGTATTATTGGAGTAACCATAGTTTTCCCACTGGATTTGGTTAAAACAAGACTTCAAAATCAAAAGCCAGGTCCTGATGGATCCTTCATGTATAGATCAATGTAAGACTATACCAATGTAATAATAATTGTCTTTTTAATATTTAAATATTTTTAATTTAATTAATAGGCTTGATGCATTTCGAAAGACATATGCTGCTGAAGGATATTTTGGGATGTATCGAGGGTCTGCTGTAAATATTTTATTAATTACTCCAGAAAAAGCCATTAAATTAGCTGCTAATGATCAATTTCGGCATTGGTTGGCAACGCCTGGGTATGTATAATATTAATAATTATAAAATAGAACGGAAGAAACACGTTAAAAACCCTAATTTTTTTTAAGGAAGCCTTTAACGTTAATACGCGAAATGTTAGCCGGTGCAGGTGCAGGGCTTTTTCAAATTGTTGTTACCACTCCTATGGAATTATTAAAAATTCAAATGCAAGACGCAGGACGAGTTGCTGCACAAGCTAAATTAGGTATATTCAATTATTTGTTTTTTTTTTTTGTTCTTAAAAATTCAATTGGTGTTTGACATTAAATTTAAATAGTTTATTTATTTTATTAATTTTTTTAGAAGGAAAAACTGTGCCAAAAGTTTCAGCTACATCATTGGCACGAGAATTAGTTGCGTCTAAAGGGTTATTAGGTCTCTACCGTGGTGTGGGAGCTACAGGAATGCGTGATGTAACATTTTCCATAATTTACTTTCCAATGTTTGCTAGACTAAATGCTTTAGGACCACGTAAAAAGGATGGTTCTGGTAAATATTTTGTTTTTCTCACATGAACTTCAAATCTAATTTATGTTTTTTAATTATCAGGTGATGCAGTATTTTGGTGCTCGTTTGTGTCAGGATGCGTAGCTGGTTCAAGTGCTGCTTTAGCTGTAAATCCAATTGATGTAATTAAAACTAGGTTACAGGCGATTAAAAAATCTGATGCCGAATTAGAATATAAAGGAGTTGTTGACTGTTTTACGTAAGATAATATTTATAAACAAATTTTAATTATTACTCAATTAATTTAATATTATAATATTAATTATATTCTAGGAAAACATTACGTAATGAAGGTCCTTTGGCATTCTTCAGAGGTGGTGCATGTCGAATGATAGTGATTGCACCACTGTTCGGAATCGCTCAAACCGTTTATTATTTAGGGGTAGCTGAAAGAATTATGGGCGTGAAAAAATAAAGAGACAATATTCAGTGTAAATCAATAAAAATGTATCAGCAATTAGTTCACTTTTATCCTTACACAGTATAATTGTTCGCTCATTTTTTGCGTTTTCACATATTTCTTAGGCATAATTATATACCTATACGAATTTCAAATTTAGTACCTACAGGTTACAAACCATTAACCAAATTTCACTAAATTATCATTGTTCAATTATTTAATTCCGAGGCCAATAACAGTTCAGGGTTGTTATGATTTTCTTGTTTTTATTATTTTTGATGGCTTAAACGATTTATCTAGTTTTACTATAGTATTTTTATGAAAAAAAAACCGTTTATGATACTATGATAGACAATAGTTAAAAGCAGTTAGCTTAAATGAAAACAATCATTTAAATGTATATTACTAATATTAAGGTTGAAATTAACTGTGATTGTTTATGGACATTATCTACTTTGTGTACTTAAATATTACCTGTGTTATCATGCATTCCGTGTCCAATGTAACCGTGATTATATGTTAATGCCAAATTTTATACTTTACTTACTATCATTAATGATGTAGTATTATGCTTGTTTTAATTATTTTAATGATGTCCAAAACCATAATAAATTTGACAATTAACTTTATTTACTGAATAATTCTGTTTTTGTTTATATGCCTTATTAATTGATAAAATGCTAACGCATATACATTTGATATCTATAAACTGAGTTTGTCAAATAAAAAAAGGTGGGTAAGTGGATGTCGCTCTGCTGTACAGTAGGTCACAAGTGGGTCACTGTATAATGGATGCTATTAAATTTGAATTCAATGATTCAATATCATTGTATAAGAAAAACGATTCTGAGCGAAGACGGTATGTCAGTCTAGGTTTAAGACAAATTATATACATATCTATGGTATTAAAAAAAAATTTACCTTTAATAAATTCCAAATTAATCATATCACATTATCACAATATCCATTAAGTACTTATAACACGTTATACATCAACATCAATAACAAACCCTGATACTATCATAGATATATAATAATACACTTTAGAAGTTTCAAGTAGGTACCCCGTACCCACGAATAATATTATATAATCACAACAAAATAACTAGGTTTTTTAATATGAAATTTCGTCCAAATTTGAACATAAAATGACTATAAAAATAAACTGTGATTGTATATTTTTTAGATTTTTCGGTAAGAGAATTAACTACTTACGTAGAATCTTGTTTTAAATTTTCAATCCTTAGCTATAAAAACTGAACATTTTATAATTTATTAATTACGATGATTAATAATTTTCGAGATTTTGAAAAATTCTGTCAAAATTCGATTTTAAAATGCTTATAAAAAAAATTGTGCCTATGTATTTTTAATATTTTTCAACTGATATTGTAACAATATATCAGGAGCCTTGTATTAAATTTTTACACTTTTTGGCCCAACAGATAAAACTTAATTGATATTTATAGAAAAAAAAAACTAAAAAAATTGAAAACTGAAAATGTCCGTAAACGGCTCAAAAAGAGTCAAAATATTTTCAAAATTGTATGGTGTATAGGAAACGCTAATATAAACATTCAGTGAAATTTTCATGTATCTACAGTAATTCGTTTTTTAATTACAACAAAAAAAGGAAATTGCCACATGAGAAATCGAGTGAATATCCAATGTTGTAAAAATTTGAATTTCAAACGCTCATAAAAATTTAATTTGACTTTCCAGTAGAGATTTTTTTATTGATAAAGGTAGACAATCTTATGAGTAATCTTGTATTAGATTTTCAAATCTTAGATTTAAAAAGAAAAATTTTTACAAATTCTTAACTCAAAATAATTTGCTAATTTTCGTGATTTTTCCATATTTTGTCAATTTTTGAACTTTAAATGCTTATAAATAAAAATTGTGACTAAGGATTTTTAATATTTTTCATCTGCCTTTGAAACAATATATTAGGAGCCTTCTATTAAATTTTCAAGCTTTCGCAACCAACAAATAAAATTTTATTGATATTTCTAGAAAAAAAACTAAAAAAAAACGAAAAATGAAAATGTCCCTAAACTGTTCAAAATAAATCAAAATATTTTGAAAATGTTATCGTGTATAGAAGATGCAAATATAAACAACCAGTGAAAATTTCATGTATCTACGGTCATTTGTTTTAAAGTTACACCAAAAACCAGAATCGATTTTTTGGAAAACCGATTTTGCGTAAAAATTCCCGTTTTTCCTTAATTTTTATGTTGTTTTTCCCGGCGCTCTTGAAAACTACTGGGAAATTTAAATTTTGACCTCCCCAATGCACCAACGATATTCACTTTCCAATCGAACAAGATACTGAAGTCGAAAATCGAAGCATTATTTCGACTACTTATCGTGTACACAGACACAAAAAAAATAAAAAAAAAAAAAAATAAATAAAAAAATAAAAAAAAAAAACACACATCATTGTAAAATCAATACATTCATCGTTTCACTCAGAATCTAAAACTGGGTACTATGTATAACTATTTTGTTTACTAACATATTTATTAATTGAGCAAAATAGAAATTATAATTATATATTAATTTACTATAACGTGTATAGATGTTCACAACAGTGGCGGCTATCTCGACAAATATAACAGGTGCTCACTTAAAATGAACTAGTACCTACCCCCTACCAGTATTTCGGGTAACCTAAAAAATTACTCATTTCACAAAAATATGTTTAACCTACTAACATTTAAAGTTCATTTTAAAAACCCAATAGTTACAACTTACAACCCACCCACCCAATTTATGAAAGGGGTGCTTGAGCACATTTTTAGATACGTGATAGCCGCCACTGGTTCACAACAAACAAGTGAAAACATTTTTAATTCTGGTAAATAATAAGAGTGAGATAACTCTGATTGTAGCATACAATATTTAACACTGTGTTATATAACATTTAATTTTTATAATATAAAAATCTGAAATTTAAATATATTTTTCAATTTTGTAATATACAGGTTATCCACCAAGCATGCTCGCCTCATTTTTCAATAATGCAGCTGTTTAAAATCTGTTCATTGGAATTTTTAAACATACTTTATGACCATGTTTTCAAATTTTTGAGATTTTTTTGAGCTACTTAAGGAATGTTTATTTTCTTAAGAGAGAGGGGCTATAGTGATTATAAAATTATATTAATCCATCAACAACCAACATTTATAAAAATAGTCTAAATATAATAGATAATAGATCCAATATTACATATTATACTTTATATTTTTGTAAAATCATTTTTAAGGGCTATTGTCCTTAGTACAAACATTTTAAAAACTTGTTTACTCTTTTTTATTGTAAGTTCTACAGTGGATATTTTTGTGAAAATGTTGATGTTTATACTTAATTCCAAATTTAAATGAGTAATCTTTGAAAATAGAAGTTTTTATCGCTATAGCAGGTACTTTAAATAGTACAGAACAGCTCAAGAATTTGAAAATACAGTCTTTATGGGTATTTGGTAAATAACTGTATATTTAAGAATTTAAAAAATTAATTGGTTTCTTAGATTCTTCCATAAATTATCAGAAGAAAGTAAACACTTATGCTCTAGAGCTTAGAATTTTAATATGTTATTCATACGTAGCGGAGTGCTATAACAGCAAACACTCTTCAAACTTTAAAGTTTTATATTTTTTAATAGGTTTGATCTATACAGTACATAGCCTTCATAGAATTTAATTGTGTAACATACACTCATACTTATAATTAAATTAGTTAAATATTCATGAATCCGTCTAGGAGATTGTAACCAAGTATCTAACCTAGTGTGTTAAACTCTAAAATAACGAACTAAATAAATTATAATTATTTCCTTATTGTGCAATGTACAATGTAATCGTATCAATATTTCACGAATCAGTTATCACAATACGAATATGGTCAAAACTGAGAATATGAATCAATAGAACTAACAATTAACAACATGTAATTTCCTCATCACAAGAGCAACCTAACAAATGTGTGACATCCAGTATTCGACATTAATTAATTTTAAGTGTACAAAAAATTACTAGTTAATAACAATGACATTGACAGATGACCCTTATATTTATTAACGTTACCATTGTAATATTCTCATGATGAATGATTGGTATATAATTATGTAGCTACATTATTTTAATGTTTCATATCACTTTTATCCACGTAAAATTTATAAGTATTAGAAGGTTATATTATAATGTATTAGAAGTACCTATGTAACATTAAATTACCTGCATATTTACATAGTAGGTAATCTATTATCCATACTCAATGGAATTAAGTGTAGATAGGAGCCTAATTCAGTTATACATATTATATAGGTACTTAGTGTTATTATTTATTTTTCAAGTCTAGACGTTTAGTGTTCCAACAGTAGGTAGCTATTATACAAATTATGAAACACCTATTTCTACACATAAATGGGGAATTTTTTCCATTTTTTTGAGGTGTTTTTAACACAGTTTTGAGATTAAAATCCTCATAGTTCATGTAATTTATTATCGCATTAATTAGAGTTCTTGTTATAATATATTGATTGATAAGTACGCACCAGACGTAACAAAGTCATTATTGTTATTTCTTATTTATATTTCTTACACATTATATTATATGATTATTGAATTTGGGTAAAGTTTCTCATTGTCTAATCAATGATCATAAATCTTATAGAAGAAATAAAAGCCTTCATCAACTCACCTATTTTTTTCATTGAAATGTGTTAATAGATTAAATAATAAATAGATTAAATGTGTTAATAATAATTCTAACCTTCCATAATCTTTAGGCCAGCGGATCCCAACCTTCGCAGTATATAGGGTCACAAGTAAATAATTCACATTATTTTGGTATGATTTTTTTATAATTATTCAAAAAAAAAAATCAATGTTTTTGTTTTCCCTAATTATTAAGAAAAGTACCTACTAGGATTTCTTTTACTTCTGACCCCCTATGGTCCCATCCAAATAAAGTACCAAGTACCAACTAAATTCACTTTCCTAACAGTA